ATTAAAAAGGAATAGAATGTATCAAGGCAGCTAGTAAATGTAGTTAACTTTAATATCTACCCATGTTTTGGTCATCCTTGTAATTCCCTGTGTATTAAATTGGGTTTCATTTGGGGATCTGAATTGAGTAAATATGTTTCTAGCTTTTCATATAAAGTAGCCCTTGTATTTCCTTTGTATATTATTAAATAGCAAATGTATGGGAGCTGCATTGCTTTAGGCTTGAACTTAAATAAGTAAATATCCCTCACCTTTGGCCTTGCAAGGGATCATCCCATTTATTCTCTTGCTGTGACTTAAGTCTTTTTCTTTTCCCTAGATTTTTCTATTTTGACCTCTCAGGTCACTTTCTCTTCATTTGTCACAGAATCTTTTTTAGAGCTTCAAAAAGGTTCCTTTTTTCTTCCTTTTTGTTGTAGTTCTAGGAATTGAATCTGAGGAGTGCCAAGCTACATCTCTCCCCTCCCCCCAACCCCTCCTCTGGAAGTATCTCTTCTTTCAGTTTTTATTTTCCCCTAAACATGAAAACATAACACATTAGCCCACACGGAGTTCTTAAGAAACTGCCTCCATATATATAGATTGCTATTATGATAGAGCTTCCTAAATCTTTGAATTGGGGCTTTGTGGTCCTACTCTAAGGTTTATGTTTTTAGGAGAAGGTTACATGATTTAAAGACTTTTTGAAACTGCCAATTATGACTATAATTTATATTCTTTGGTTTGTCTTATGAAACTTCTTGTTCTTTGTATATAATAAAACATGTTTATATACATTTAATCTTAACCCTTAGAAGGGCTCTGGCTTTTTCTTTTTCATTTTATGGTTTTTATAGCATAAAACCAAGGGTGCTGTGCCACTAAGCTATGCCCCCAGCGCTTTTCATTTTTTGTTTTGAGACAAGGTCTCACCAAGCTATCCAGATTGGCCTTAAACTTGCAATCCTCCTGCCTTAGTCTCCTAAGTAGCTGGGATTACAGGCCTGCACCACCATGCCTAAGGGCCCTGATATTTTTATCTGGCAGCCGTATTTTTGGAAGTGAGAACATGAAGTTACAGAGCACTTAGAAGAAATATGTGCAAGGAAACCATTTTGTGCCCACATCAAATTTAGTATATAAATCTTAGACTTTGATAGCTAACAAAACCCAGACCCTATTGGAGAATTAGAAAATGTGCAACTTTGAAGAACTAAATTTACCTTGCAGAAGTAGTATTTTAGGGCCAGGGATTTAGCTCAGTGGCACCACGCCTGCCTGGCAAGCACAAGGTCCTGAGTTCGATTCCTAGTACCAAAAAAAGATTTAATAAAACTATAGGTATAATTTCTCTCCAAATATGTCAACATGGATTATGGAGAGTATATCTCTCCTTTGTAAATTTATAATTAATAAATTGGTTTCTTGCCCCATAATTTCTTACCTGGCAATTTATATTTGTATAAGCAATCCGCATTAAGACTCCTAAAGTAAACTTCTATACAGTCACCAACAGGGACAATAGGCTTGGTAAATATGCCATGCTTCCACTTGCACTCTAAGAGTACCTTAGGTGCAAGACTGAGAAATAGCTTCATCCATACATAACCTCAAGATCAGCTCTAAGTTCTCTCATTCTGACTTTTAAAAGTTATCTAGGAATGCTAATGCCTGCCAAGAAAAAATTTCCAGGAAATTTTAACATCCAGAACCATAAATTATTAGCTCTACAACTTTTTATATGTCATGCTCAAAAAACAGCCAAGAGTCACTTTAGCAAAAATGGCAGAGTAACTTCAAAAACCTGTTAATTCACAAAAGCATCAAAAACTCAAGCAAAAACATTCAGACTCAACCTTCTCCAAACTCTGGAAGCAGTCAAGAAAAAGACCACCCCCCAAAATAGGAAAGCTTTGTAGTGTTTTACTTGGCCTTTCCACATTTCCCTCCCCATCTTGAAGGCTCTACATTAATCTTCTAAAGGAAATAGCCCACACTCTCAGCATAAAGTCTGGTGGTCCTTGATTCCTAGGCAACAGAGAGGCTATATTCTCAAAAATTTGATTGTTCTGTCTGAGAAAGATGTACACAAGGCACTCACCTTTTGTTTCATTAAGTTTAAACTCAAGGTGGAAAAGTGTGCATTTGTCAAAAATGTAAGGCAAAGTCCTACTCAGCCATAAAGAATGAGAAACTGGAGACATTCATAGCTAAATGGATGCACACTGAGGCAATACTCAAGTGAAATAAGACGTGTAAATATCGAATAGTTTCTCTGGTGTGAAAAACTAAAAGTGTAAATAAGGTTCAAAATGTATAATCGATAGGGCCGGGGATTTAGCTCACTGGTTTCGCTGCCTGCTGCGCAAGCACAAGGACCTGAGTTCGATCCCCGTTACCAAAAAAAAAAAAAATAATCGATAATGTGAAATAGGAAGAAAAGGTCTAAAGGAATAGGGGAAGTGGAAGGGGTAGGGGAAAGTAAAGAAGGGAAAAGAAAAAAATATGAGAAAAGGAAAAAATGGAAACAAAGTCTTTGTAAATAGGGAAGGGTGGAGGGGGTGAAGGGATGGCAAGGAATGGGGAAAAAATAAGAACCAAGATGCATTATGTAAAGTTACAATTCCCAATGAGAAATGTAATTGTGTTGTATACGTAAAATGTATCAATAAAAGAATTTAAGAAAAAAAAAACAGAATGCAGAAGATCATCATAAAGATCGTATACCCTGACCAAGTTAGATTCATCCCATGGATGGAGGGATGGTTCAACATA